TGAGTGCCCACATAATGCTCAAAGAAAATACTCATTTCAGATGTCTAATTTTTGGATTTGGGATGCTCAACCAATAAAAGTATAATGCAGGCTGGGCGCAGTAGCTCATGCTTGTAATCCCAGCACTTTGGGAGGCCAAGGCAGGCAGATTGCTTGAGGATTGAGACCAGCCTGGCCAACATGGTGAAACCCCGTCTCTACTAAAAATACAAAAATTAGCCAGGCATGGTGGCGGGCACCTGTAATACCAGCTACTTGGGAGGCTGAGGCAGAAGAATCGCTTGAGCCTGGGAGGTGGGGGTTGCAGTGAGCCAAGATCATGCACTGCACTCCAGCCTGGGCAACAGAGTGAGACTCCATCTCAAATAAATAAATGCATGCATGCATGCATGAATGAATGAATGTATAATGCAAATATTCTATAAAACAAAGAAATCTGAACTTCAAAACACTTCAAGTCTCAAGTATTATAGATAAGGAATGCTCAACCTCTACTTAAGTATACTATAAAATGTACATGCTTCATGAAAATTCGTATGTGAAACAAAACTTCAAATTCCTAATAAATTCCACTAAGTCAGCTAAACCAAAGGCACTTAATAACTAAAGAAATACGAAGAAGGGTATAAACACAGGACCACTACTTTATAACAGAACTGAAAAGAATAGTGTTTGCACCTTTCTTAGAAATAATATTCATTCATAAATGCCCAGTACTCACAAAAACTGTAATTCCTTAATCCATCATTTTAGGCTTAGTAATTCTTTTCTGAATAATATAAATTATGTTAGTTTGCTGGAAACTGAAATATTTCTACATTAATATCCCTCATTTACTCATGCCAAAAAAGCATTTCAAGAAATTATGTCTTCCAATTAATTCCTTATTTATCCACAGTTAACCATCTAAAAACATTTACCCAAAAGAATGTCTTATCAGTTTCACGTCACAGATAGTAGTCATCAACAAAAGGATATTCCAAACCATTTTTCTATATCACTTACAATTTAAGCAATATTCTATTCTATTTCTTTAAAAAGCATTGTAAGCCCTATTACTACATTGAGTGGGTTCTGTTTTTTTTTTGAGACAGAGCCTCACTCTGTCGGCCAGGCTGCCATGCAGTGGTGTGATCTCAGCTCACTGCAACCTCCGTCTCCCGGGCTCAAGCAATTCTCCTGCCTCAGCCTCCCGAGTAGCTGGGATTACAGGTATGTGCCACCACGCCCAGCTGATTTTTTTATTTTTAGTAGAGATGTGGTTTCATTAGTTTGGCCAGGCTGGTCTCAAACTCCTGACTCATGTAATCAGCCTGCCTCAGCCTCCCAAAGTGCTGGGATTATAGGCATGAACCACTATGCCTGGCTTTGTAGGTTGTTTTAAGCTGTATATAAGAATAACTTTCCTAAACTGCTATTTTTAATTTTGGGATCCATTAAGAAAAAAATCTGAAGTCTGTTTGGAGGAATATGCAATGATTATCTAAAAATTTATAAAAGGTTTTTAACTAAGAGGTTAAAAATTATTAATATTAAGTGAAACAATATAAACTTCTGAGGTGCTAGGGTAAGTTTTTTTTTTTTTTGAGATGGAGTATCACTCTGTGGCCTAGGCTGGAGTACAGTGGCATGATCTTGGCTCACTGCAACCTCCGCCTCCCAGGCTCAAGCGATTCTCCTGCCCCAGCCTCCTGAGTAACTAGGACTACAGGTGTGTGCCACCACACCCAGCTAATTTTTTTTAGTAGAGATGGGGTTTCACCAGGTTGGCTAGGCCTTGACCAACAAAGGTCAAGGTGAGGTTGAGACTTCCTGACCTTAGGTGATCCACCCACCTCAGCTTCCCAGAGTGCTGGGATTATAGGTGTGAGCCATCATGCCCAGCCTAGGGTAGCTTTTAACATGCATTCCTAACACACAGAGGTAGGAAAGTTGAACACTGTATTTCCCAACCTCCCTTGCAGCTAGGGTTTCAGATATGATTGGTCCAGTCAGTCAGATTCACTCACTTGAGACTTTTACTCAGAACCAAGTTACATGGGGACAGAGGCAGGAAGAGATATATCTATTTTTGCTGGCATAGAGCAGGGCAGAGGTGGTGTGGCTCTGGAACTGGCAACTATTCACAGCTTCCTAGTCCAGCAGGCAGCTTCCTAATCCAGCAGGCGGCTTCTCAATTGTTCTAAAAGCAGCAGCTCCTTTGGCAGCCCGCTCTTCTGATGTAGTTCCTAGCAGCTCAGCCTAGGTCTGTTTCTTCAGCCCTCCCATAGCTTGTGTCCTACCTATACTTCTTCATCAATCCCCTTTTGTTTAATAGCTAAAGAAGATTTCATTGCCTATAGCCAAGAATCTTGACCTATACATAATTTGTAGCTAGAAGGCGCCGCAAGTCAAAGGCCCTAAATCTGGGGTTGGCTTAGTTGGAGGTAGGGCTTTGAGCAGTGAGACTTCTTGCCAACAAAGGTCAAGGTGAGGTTGAGACTTCCTGCCACAGAGATGAAGGTGGTAGAACTTCAGAGTGTTAGCATGTGTTGGCAGCTTCTTGCCTCTTTTCAGCAAAGCCCTACAAGAGAATTCTGACCTCAGCAAAAGCCCTACAAGAGAAATGTGACTTTAGCAAAGCCCTGCAAGATAAATATGATGTGGGCTAAGGTTAACAAGTCTGCAGTGATGCAAAGGAAAATAGGTTTGTTGAGAGAATTGCTCTTCATTTGTCATATAAATTGACCAAGTCCCAAATCTGAAGCCCTGAAGAATTGAAAGTCAACTACTACTGTACTCCAAACTGAAACATCTATAAGTAAAGGCTCTGAGGGAGCTACTAAAACTTTATCAACCTTTCTCAAGAAGCTTCCCTTAAGAATTTTCTGCCAAATAGTGGAAGAGATCAGATTAAGACTGTTGCCATCCCATCCAAGCCTACAGTCTCAAAGGATCATCACAAGGAGGTACCATTCCTGTAAGAACAAAGGGGATGAAGAGCGCACAGAGGTCAGCAAGTAAATGACGAAGTTGTTTGTTAAAAACAGTGCCTTTTAGCTTTGTTAAAACTGTCCATGGAAATGATTGAAGACAACAGTCCAAAAACTTACTAAATTTTTAGGAATCCACTTGGCCAAGAAACAGAACAAAACAATAACAAAAACCGAAACGTGGCCTGCAACAGCCTGTAGCTGTTACTGATCTATACTCTAATTCCCAAGCCTGCCCCCAGACTCACAATTATAGGAAGTAAACTGCTAAGGCTGCCCAGCTCCAAGAAGAGTATACTTTCCAATGCCCATGCATTGTATCTGAAAATTAATATACAATAAAAACCTCCCAGAAAGCAAAACCAAGGCCCCCGAGGACATTTGATAAAGGAATTCCTCTTAGAAAGGTGAATCAGGTGTTGCCTGATGGGCAAACCAAGGAATATATTCATGGACTATAGCAGGGAGATTTATTCATTTTTGCTAAGTGATACTTTCAAATTGCTATGGATCAGTGACTGCTGTATTTCTAATTCTCTCCTTTTCTAAAAAGTCAATTTTAGAGTGCCTGGGCATGGTGGCTCACACAAATAATCCCAGTGCTTTGGGAGGCTGAGGCAAGAAGATTGCTTGAGACCAGGAGTTTAAGACCAGCCTGAGCAACATGGCAAGACTCTATCTCTCCAAAAAAAAGTTTAAATTTGCCAGGTGTTCGTGGCATGTGCCTGTAGTCTTAGCTACTAGGGAGACTGAGGTGGAAGAATCACTTGAGCCCAGGAGTTCAAGGCTGCAGTGAGCTATGATGGCACCTCTATACTCTAGACTGGATAAGAGAGTGAGACCCTGTCTCTAAAAAATTAAAAAGGTCAGTTTTCCTGCACCTTTGCATTATGCATCTGGTGCTCTTGGGGCAGAAAATTTGTCTTTTAGTTTGTAGGTGGCCAGAACACAAGGAGCCGCACCCTAACATGACGGGGGGGGGGGGACTATCCCCAGATATCATGATCTTTCATCTAAGATGCAATAATGGGCTGGATTTCTGGTGGTTTCTCTTAGGGGAGAGAGGAGTGTGTTTTCTATCTCAGAAGAAGAACATACACAGAAATTTAGGTAGCCAACAAGGCTGACTGAGGTTAAAATTGAAAGCTGTCTACCTATCGGTGTAACCCTCTTCCCTCCTTCCTTAGTAAAAGAATCCAACTTTTAGCTGGTCACATTGCCACATGGACTTCTAAGCCTCCCTAGCAGCTAGGTGTGGCCATCAGTGTGACCCAGTTCTGGCTGAAACATAAGTTCATGTGCTGCTGGTTCTGGAAAATGGCCTCAGGGAAGCTAATTCAAGTAGAGAAAGTCCAATTTCTTGCCTTCCCCCCTCCCTCCAGGAGCAAACTTGAACAGTGAGAGTGAGGTAACCTGAGGATAAAACTCATGCACTGAGGATAGAGCAGAAAGATAGGAACTTGGACACCACCTACTCCTAGACTTCTTTTATGTAAGAAAAAAAACTCCTATTTCGTTTAAACTACTGTTATCTTTGGTTTTTCTGCTGTATATAATAGAACCTAATCTCAAATGATAAAGTATAGAGCAAAATAAAAAAGAATAAAAAATGACCTAAAGTGATAACAAAGGTTATTCAGGTGAAGAATTTGTAACAATTGAGGTTGCCAAAAGTAGAAGAAGCTCACCAGGAAACACAGGGAAATGCTATGGACTTTTCATAATTGTTAATATCAAAGAGCCATTTATTACAAGAAGGAATGAAAAGCACCCATAAAGAATATCTATGTTTATGAGTAAGTGAGAGCAATCTAATTTAAAAGCAATAGGCAGGGTTTTCTCACTTAAATAGTTGCTAATAGTTACACTATCTTATGGCATAAAGTCAATTAAATCACTAAAGGAGAACGGAAGAAATAGAAGAGCTGTGTGAGAGTGAGAGCAGAGAGCAGATAGTGAGTTTGTATTCTTCCTGGTTGTGAAAGACTTCAATCCTTTAATATCTGTGTCCAAGAAAAAGTGTTCTCATTTAAAAAGTATTTTCCTTTATTCCAAATATGCTTTTAAAATATTTATTAAGCAGAGAAAAAGAAAGGGAGCTAAAAAGGTGAAATAGATGTTGAGTTAACAGCTTTCTTCCAAGTTCTGGCGGACTTCAGACTTTAAATGTCTGTTGGAAAAAAAAAAATATGTTCTTATTTTAAAAGTATCTTCCTTTATTCTGAATGTTCTTTCATATACAGAGATATTTGTTTTTAAAAATATGCTTAGCTAATCATAGATTACAGTTTTTAAAAACATGTTCTCTGGTAAGATTACTATAATTAGAAAGAATTACAAATAATGTTGAAACAAATCAATTAACCATAAATATGGTTATCAAATTATATAAATGATATGGCTGGGCACAGTGCCTCATACCTGTAATCCCGGCACTTTGGGAGGCCAAGGTAGGTTTTCCAGACCAGCCTGACTAACATGGTGAAACCCCATCTCTAGTAAAAATACAAAAATTAGCCAGGCCCAGTGGCAGGCACCTGTAATCCCAGCTACTCAGGAGGCTGAGGCAGGAGAATCTCTTGAACCCAGAAGGGGGAGGGTGCAGTGAGCCAAGATTGCACCATTGCACACCATCTTGGGAAACAAGAGAAAAACTCTGTCTCAAAAAAAGATATATATATATATGTATACACACACATATATTCTACATATATAAATGGTATAGCACTTAAAATTTGCTGCTACATAAAACTTTTGGAGGCATTTTCATTTTTCTGTGATCTAAAATTGCTCTAATACTACAAAAAAACACAAAAAACATATCATCTTAATGATTTGAAATTATATTTGTAATAAATGTGGACTTCAATTGATACAATAATTTATTTTCCTAAATAACTAATCAAACAGAATTACATACGTGGCTCAAACTTCAATTCTCCAGCTGGCCCTGATGGAGGAATTCCTTGTTGTAATTTTTTTTGTTCCATCTGCTGTATGACCTGGTGAATGGAAAAAGAAAAGGTATAATTTGATTTTCTATCATATGTGTGACCTTTGACAAAGCCCAACATAGTAACTGAAAATTGTTTTCTAAAACAAAGATATGCAAACTATAAACTTTAGATTTGACCAGGTGCAGTGGCTCATGCCAATAGTCCCAGCACTTTCAGAGGCTGAGGTTGGAGGATCACCTGAGGCCAGAAGTTTGATATCAGCCTGGGCAACATAGTGAGACCTGGTTTCCACAAAAAAATATTAACATTAGCCAGGCACACTGGCATGCACCTGTAGTCCTAGCTACTGGGGAGGCTGAGGTGGGAGGATCACTTGAGCCCAGGAGTTTGAGGCTGCAGTGAGCTATGATCATACCCCTATACTCCAGCCTGGGAGACAGGTTATCTCAAAATAAAGTTAAATGAAATAAAATTTAGATTAATATTCCACAAAACAGTTTTAAAGTATTACAATTTAAAATACTATAGCTACAGTACAATGAAATATGTTACAAAAACACAGGCTTTTAACAAAGCCCCTGAAATCTTTTTTAATGCCATAATCTTTTGACAAAATGCCACCTGATGATATTCCAGCTTCTGAGCCTCCAGTTGATCATGCTGACGCTGTAGCTCTTCTTTTTGTTTCTGAAGCTCATCTGCCTTCTTCTTAAGTTCATTTTCTTGTAAAGCAATAATATTTTCATATTCTTTTAGTTCTTCCTCTGTGAAGAACTGTTGCTGATCTAATGTCTAAAAGAAAAAAAATGAAAAAAGAATAATCTTAACACTACAACAATAAAGTCTTATTTAGCTTTAGAATTCTATAGTTAGCAAAGTATAAAAGGGTATCAACAGGATTACGCCTGTGGGGTAAGAAGGAAAGGGAAATAAGTAATATATATTTATGTACTCATTTGAGCAAACAGAAAAACAGGAAGAGAAATTCAGAGATTCTCTTCGAGGAATGGTAACTAAAGGCAAAGAGTGAGAACTGGGCAGAAGTGACAAAGAGAACGTGTGAAAAGAAATAACATTTGTCATTCCCCCCAACTCTCACTGAAACACAAATTTTAACAGCTGTCTGCACACCGAAAAGCACAAGAAGCAAACATCAGGTGAGCACTCATAGTACCTGGTTTCAACTTCATATCACTGACAAAGGCATTGACAAGGGCAAGAGAGACAGTCCTGAATCACCTATGCCACCTCTCCCCAATCCCCTCACAGCAGACACGCAGCACAGAGAGTCTGTGCACTCTGGGGAAGGAGCATAGCGATGGAGGCACTTTACATTGAACTCAGTGCTGCCCTGTCACAGCAGAGAATAAAGCTGTGCTGGGCTTCACCAGTGCCCATGATGGAGGGAGCATCTGAACCATCACCCATCCCAGCAGTGGATACTGAATTTCCTAGCAACCCTCACCATGTGGGTTAAATGCTCAGCGGTCCTAGGTAAATTTGAAAGGCAGTCTAGGAAAGGAGGACTATAATTCCTAGGCAACTCCTAGTGCTGGGCTGGGCTTAGAGCCACTAAACTAGAGTAACAGGTAACCAGGGGAGACACCAGCTGGTGAGGCTAAGGGAAAGCTTGTGCTACCCCTCCCTGAACCTCAGGTGGTACAGCTTGTAGCTATGAACGTGACTCCTTTCTTGGGGAAAGGAAAACAAAAAGTAAAGAGGGCTTTGTCTTGCATCCTGGATACCAGCTAAGCCACAGTAGGATAAGGCACCCGGCAGAGTTGTGAGGCCCCAATTCGAGGCCCTAGCTCCCAGATGACATTTCCAGACATACCCTAACCGAAAAGGAAAACTGCTGCCTTAAAAAGGCAGTCCTGGCAGGCTTCATCACTTGCTGAGTAAAGAGCCCTTGGGCCCTGAATAAACAGTGGCGAGACCCAGGGAGTATGCTCTGGGTCTTGGACTCTGAGACATGCTGGCTTTGGGGTGACTCAGCATATCCCAGCTGTAGTGGCTATGGTGACAGGCCCCTGTTTGAAGAAAGCAGAGGGAAAGTCAAGGCAATTTTGTCTTGCACGCTAGTTACAAGCTTGGCCATGGTAGGGTAGAACAACAAGCAGGCTTTTGGGGTCCCCGAGTCCAGGCCTTGGCTCATAGCATTTCTGGACTCGCTTTGGACCAGAGGGGAGCCCACTTCCCTGAAGGGTGAGTCCCAGGCCTGGCAGCATTTACCACAAGGTGACAGAAAAGCACTTGGGCTTTTGGCAGATATCAGCAGTGGCTGGGAGAAGCCCATGTGGACCAGAGGTGGTGGTGGTGATGGCCACAGGGAGAGGGTCCTCTGCCTGTGGAAAGGGAAGTGAAGAGCAGGAAGGCCTTTGTATTGTGGTTTGAGTGTCAGCTTAGCCACAGTAAAACAGAACTTCAGGTAAATCACTAGGATTTTTATTAGAATCCCTGGCTTCCAGACAGCATCTCTGGACATACCCAGGGTCTGGAGGAACTCGCCACCATGAAGGAAAGGGCCTTGGACAAGGCCTAGTGCCATGTTGGCTTCAGGACTGACCCAGCACAGTTCCAGTGCTGATGGCCACAGGGGTACTTGCATCAAAACACCTCCAGTTCCAGGTGGCTCAGCACAGAGAAAGAGAGAGACTTCATTTGTTTGGAAGAAAGTAAGGGAAAAGAACAAGAGTCTCTGCTGTGTTCTAGAGAATTCTTCTGGATCTTATCCAAGACCACAAAGATGGTACTTCTATGAGTCTGTAAAAATCACAGAATTACTGGACTTGGGGCCTAAATCCCATGGAATATCTGGAAAGCTTTTCAAAGAAGGACATGCACAAACAAGCCCAGGCTGCGAAGATTACAATAACTAACTCTTCAATGCCCAGACACTGACAAACATCTGCACACATCACCACCACCCAGGAAAACATGTCCTCACCAAATGAATTAAATAAGGCACCAGGTTCCAATCCTGGGGAATCAGAGCTATATGACCTTTCAGATACAGAATTCAAAACAGCTGTGTTGAGGAAACTCAAATTCAAGATAACAACATAGAGAAGGAATTCAGAATTCTATCAGATACATTTAACAAAGAGATCAAAAGAATTACAAAGAACAAAGCAGAACTAGAGTTAAAAAATGCAGTGAACGTGCTGAAGAATGTATCAGGGTCTCTTAATAGCAGAACTGATTAAGCAGAACAAAGAATTACTGAGCTTGAAGACAGGCTATTTGAAAATACAGTTAGAGGACTCAAAAGGAAAGAGAATGAAAAACTATGAGAGCACGCTTCAAAAGGGCAAATCTAAGAGTTTTATTGACCTAAAAGAGGAGGCAGAGAAAGAGATAAGGGTAGAAAGTTTATTCAAAGGGATAACAATGGAAATATTTCAACATTCAAGTGCAAGAAAGTTATAGAACATCAAGCAGATTTAACCCATGTCAGATAATCTCAAGGCATTTAATAATCAAACTCGCAAGGTCAAGTACAAAGAAAGGACAGCATCTCTGGACATACCCAGGGTCTAGGGGAACTCACCGCCATGAAAATAAGGGCCTTGGGCAAGGCCCAGTGCCATGCTGGCTTCAGGGCTAACCCAGCACAGTTCCAGTGGTGATGGCCACAGGGGTACTTGCATCAAGTTGGGTGTGGTGGCTCGCACCTGTAATCTCAGCACTTTGGGAGGCAGAGGTAGGCAAATCACTTTAGGCCAGGAGATCAAGATCAGCCTGGCCAATACAGAAAAACCCCATCTCTACTAAAACCATAAAAATTAGCCATGTGTGGTGGCACACACCCATAATCCTAGCTACTTGGCAGCCTAAGGCACAAGAATTGCTTGAACCTGGGAGACAGAGGTTGCAGTAAGCCAAGATCATAACATAGCCCTCCAGCCTGAGTAACAGAGCAAGACTCTGCCTTGGGCAGCAGATTTTTCAGTGGAAACCTTACAGGCCAAGAGAGACTGGCATGACATATTTGAAGTACTGATGGAAAAAAAAAAAAAAAACCCACATTTTCCCTAGAATAGTATATTCACTGAAAATATTCTTTAAGCATGAAAAAGAAATAAAGACCTTCTCAGACAAACAAAAGCTGAGGGAGTGCATCAACATCAGACCTGTCCTATAAGAAATATGGAAGGTAGTTCTTTAATCTGAAAGAAAAGGATTTTTTTTCTTTTCTTTCTTTTTTTTTTTTTTGAGACGGAGTTTTGCTCTTGTTACCCAGGCTGGAGTGCAATGGTGCAATCTCGGCTCACTGCTACCTCCGCCTCCTGGGTTCAGGCAATTCTCCTGCCTCAGCCTCCTGAGTAGCTGGGATTACAGGCACATGCCACCATGCCCAGCTAATTTTCTGTATTTTTAGTAGAGATGGGGTTTCACCATGTTGACCAGGATGGTCTCGATCTCTTGACCTCACGACCCACCTGCCTCGGCCTCCCAAAGTGCTGGGATTACAGGCCTGAGCCACCACGCCCGGCCCAAGAAAAGGATGTTAATGAGAACAAAGAAATCATCTGATGGTATAAAACTCACTGGTAACAGTAAGCACACAGAAAAACACTGAATAGTGTAACACCATAATTGTGGTATATAAACCTCTCTTGACTTAAGTAGAAAGACTAAACAAGGAACCAATCAAAAATAATAACTAAAAACAAATAAGATAACTACAACTTTTCAAGACAATAAAATAAGATGTAAAAAGTAACAATGAAAAGTTAGAAAGCAGGAGGATGAAGTTAAAGTGTAAAGTATTTATTAATTTTGCCTTTTGTTTATGCAATCAGTGTTATCATCAGTTAAAAATAATGGGTTATATTATTTGCAGGCCTCATGGTACTCTCAAATCTAAAAACACACAATGGATATACACACACAAAAAGCAAGAAATTAGAGCATGCCACAAGAGAAAATCAGCTTCACTAAAAGGAAGACAGGAAGGAAAAAAAGGAAGACAGCAAAACAACCAGGAAAATAACAAAATGGCAGGAGTAAGTCCCTACTTATCAATAATAATAACTTTGAATGTAAACCAACTACACTTTCCAATCAAGACATAGAGTGTCTGAATAGATGAAAAAACAAGAACCAAAGAAACAAGCCTAAAAGAAACACACTTCACCTATAAAGACGCGGAGACTGAAAATAAAGAGATGGAAAAAGATATTCCATGCCAATGGAAACCAAAAAAGAGCAGGAGGAGCAGGAGCAATACAAAACAGAGGTCAAGAAGAAACGGAGACAAAGACAATGATAAATGGGTCCATTCAGCAAGAAGATATAATGATTGCAAACATATACACACCCAACACTAGAGCACCCAAATATATTAAGCAAATATTATTAGAGCTAAAGACAGACCTCAATACAATAATAGCTGAAGACTTCAGCTTTTATCATTACACTTTCAGCTTTACACAGAAAATCAACAAAGAAACATTGGACATAATCTGGAGTATAGATCAAATGGATCTAACATATATTTAACAAACAATTCATCTAGCAGCTATAGAATACACATTTTTTTGCCAGGTGTGGAGGCTCACGCCTGTAATCCCAGCACCTTGGGAGGCTGAGGTGGGTGGATCACTTGATGTCAGGAGTTTGATACCAGCCTGGCCAACATGGTGAAACCCTTTCTCTATTAAAAATAGAAAAATTAGCTGGGCATGATGGCAGGTGCCTGTAATCCAACCTACTCCAGAGGCTGAAGTGAGAGAATCGCTTGAATTGGGGCAGTGGAGGTTATAGTGAACTGAGATTGCGCCATTGCA